GCACACACCAGATTCCAGATTGAATCAGTATCAGTAAAGACTAGGGGAAACATCTACACTGCAACGCTATTTCAAAATAACTAGCTCTATTCCAAAATGACGTAGTCTACATCTACACAGCAGGCAGTTATTTTGAAATAGCATCAAAACACTGTCAAGCTGGAGGACTTCTTATTCCGACTCCTGTAACCCTCATTGCATGAGGAATAAGGGAAATCAGCGGAAGAGGGCTCTATTTCCAAGTAAGTGCTGTGTCGAACTCAAAATAAGCTACACCAATTGAGCCAAGCCCTGCAGTGTAGACTCACCCTAATTCTTCTCTACCCTTTCCAAAGGAATAATTCTCCACTGGGTGCTTCTGAGGTAACTTACTTTGTCTGTGCAGGTACTTATATCCCCTTAGTATCTGAGTGTCAGGCAGCTGGGCCATGCCTAGGTACTGCCCTTCAGGGACCATCCCCCACTGGGCCACAGACGCACGCTCTCTCTGTCTCTGCACAATAGCATAGACCAGTAGGGGTCACGCACAGCACAACACGGCAACCAGTGAATGCCAAACCAGAGTGCATCCAGGGCCACAAGTGTACAGCCCCCCCCCACTACATCTCACCAGGTCACCCTATGCAGTCATGGGGCATTTCAAATTGATGTCAATCGGGGGTCTCCAACCTTTTTACCCACAAGATCGCTTTTTCAATTTAAGTGCAATGTAAGATCTACCTCAAACCCAGATACCCTCGCCTGGCTTCCTTCCTCCCCTTCTCTGAGGCCCTGCCCCTGCTCCATCCCTTCACCGAGGCATCACCCTGCTCACTCTCTCCCCCTATCTCCCTGAATCTCATTCACTTTCACCAGGCTGGGGTAGGGGGCTGGGGGGCAGGCTCTGGTCTTGGCCCAAGGGATTTGGAGCGTGGGAGGGGACTCCCTGAAAGTAGCAAGGAGGGATGGGTTCTGGAGTGGCCTAGGAGAAAGGGCATTTGCCTGCGGAATGCAGAGTTGGGGGCTTAAGTTCCTTTCCCCAGCCCACCCTGAGGCAGCTGGGCAGCCAACACAGGCTGCCCCAGGGATGGAGCTGGCTCCCACGTTAGGAAGGAAGGGTAAGGGATGCTCTGAAGTTAGGGCGGATGGGTGGGTTCCGGAGTGGTCATGGGGATAGGGCACTTGCCTGGGGAAGGCAGGGTAGTGGGCGGGAGTCCTACCCCCCACCCACCATGGGAGAGGCCTGACATCAGGGATGGAGTAGTGGGGTTAAGTCAGGCTCACTCTTGCCCTGGCCTGCATCCCCCGCCCCCTGAAAGCAGCTGGCATGCACAGCAATGGCTCCATGTGCTGCCCCTCATCTCCAGGCACCAATCCCACAGCTTCTGCTAACCACGGTTCCCCATTATTGATCAATGGGAGCTGCAGGAGCAGTGTCTGCAGGCAAGGGCAGCATGTGGAGACCCCTGCTCTGATTTTCTCAGGGGTACAGGGACATGCCAGCCACCTCCAGGAGCACAATTAGCACGGGGATAATCACTCCAGCCATAACAGGTCAGGCATTGTATTCAAAGAATTAAATGTAAGTGTACAAGAGAAATGAAAAGGATGAAATGCACAGACCAGTCACAAACAAAAATAACCCCTTTTGCCTGTAGTAAAAATAATAATAGCTCCCATGTACGTGTTGGGTCGGGAGCTGAGTGTGTGTGTGTGTGTGCGTGTGTGTGATATTCTCTCTCACTCAACGCACACACAGTGTGTGATAGAAATGTGTGAGAGTGACAGAGATTTGCATTGCCACGCTTCCTCCATCCCCTTCTCTGTGTGGTGACAGGGTACAGAAGTGGGGGGAGAAGGGACACCCTGACAACAGTGCCCCCCCTTCTCCCTCCCATACCCTGCACAGCAAATAGGAGACTTCTGGGGGCAGCTCCAAGGCAGGAGCAGCAGGACAGTGAGGGGAGGGGCAGCTGAAGTGCCAGCACTTGACAGCCTCTTGGCCAAACCAGTCAGGATCACCTCTCAGAGGCTCCAAGATCTACTGGTAGACCCCGATCTCCTGGCTGATGGACACTGATGTAAAGGGAGTTGTCCGTGACACCCATGCCTGAGCTGGCTGGTCACTTTCTACTACAAATGACTTTTCCCATTGGGCTTGTTTTGCTAAATTTCAAATATTCAAGTTGAAAACTTGAGTTGCAGCTCCCAGTCCCCAGCTGAATTTTTGGGAAATGTGAAGCTATTGAATCAGTCATTAATCTTCTGTTTCTCCTCTGAGCTTTTTCTCTTTTTGCTTGGGTGTGTTTCACAGCTGAGTTCACAGTGATGTGTCCTGCTCATCCTGTCATGGCCACTGTGGGTGAGGCCATCGAGTTACCCTGTCACCTGTCCCCCAGGATGAGCGCTGAGAACATGGAGGTGAGATGGTTCTGGTCGGACTTCCTTTCCTTTGTGCACCTGTACCAGGATGGGAAGGATGAACATGAGCAGCAGATGACAGAGTATCGGGGAAGGACGGAGCTTTTGAAAGCCGGCCTCACGGAGGGCAATGTGTCCTTGCGGATTCTTAATGTCAAACCAATGGATAGAGGACAGTACCGCTGTTTGGTTCGAGATGGTATTTTTTATAAAGAAGCCCTGTTGGAACTGAAGGTAGCAGGTCAGTAGCTCCTGTCTGTATTCTCTTAGTACAGTCTGCAGTTTTTTATTCCTTGCTACTGCAACAACTGTGACTAGCAACTTGTGACTTGTTTTAGAATAACCCACTGTGTTACAACCACGTTAAAATCCTTTCCATAATATGCAGACCACTTTCCCAGAGTTTGGTTACAGACATTTTGGAATGGCCAGGAGACTTCCTTGGCCAAAATCAATTCCTAATTGACATCAAAAGGAGTCCTTTGTTAGGAGGGCAAGGACTTCTGAACAAAGAAGGTCTTCCTGTTTCTCTGCCGTCATTTTGTGGATGCATGGCCCAGTTGACACTGCCAGATTTATATGGTCTTCTGCTCTGGTCGTAACTGGCTGTAATTTAGGGGCACAGTCAAAATCAGCTGCAGTTTCCTGATTGGCTGAGGCCATACAACGGTGATGGAGAAGTTGTGTATTTATCACTCCTATTTATAGCTTCTGCTTTGACAGTTTAACTGTGGGCCCAGGTAGTTTTTTTTTTTTTTTTTTTTTTAAACAAAACAAAGAAACACATCCATCCAGTACACTGACCATCAGAGATTGTTAAATGAAGTGGTCGTGTTTTAACACTCAAATGCTCTTGAGTTGAAAGGACGGTATCTCTCAGTGATCCAGTGAAATCATTAGAAATACTCGTTGACGTGCTTTCCCCTGTCTATAAGTATTGGGAATACAGAGATTCTGGTTTTCATTTGTCCCATCTGCATGAGTAAGTGATTGCTAATGAGAATAAGGGAGCTACAATCTGGGCCCCATCCCTTGTGTTTGTAAGTTAACTCATGGAATTGACACGTGTTTATTTTGTTTTCCTGTAGTTTTAGGCTCCAGTCCTCTCATCTCTGTTCAGGGTCACCAGAATGGAGGAATCCGGGTAGTTTGTCAGTCGGCCGGTTGGTACCCAAAGCCTGAGATGCTGTGGAGGGATCACATCGGGCACCTTTTAACATCACTATCAGAAGCAATATCTCAGGTGGACAATGATCTGTTTAGAACTGAAAGCTCTATTATTATGAGAGAACATGCAAACCAAAGCTTGTCCTGTTGCATCAGGAACACCTTGCTCAATCAAGAAAAGGAATCGACAATTCATATAGCAGGTCAGTTACTTTTCCCTACCCCCACACTTACATTACCATAAAAACAAAACAAAATACAAAAACATTGAAAACTCTGTGGCGCATATTTTACAATCTACACGCAAAGAAGTTTGGCGGGGGGAGGCTGATATCTTCACAGGGTCACTATTCAATCAATTTGATTACCTAACTTTTGGATCAGTCCATTGGAGATGATGATCATCTGTTTGCACGTGGAGAGGAAGATGGTGTCTCTTTGTATCTGTGCAAGTTTCTTTGTGGAGTTGATGGATTTCCACTTCATACGACTAAATCAGGGGTGAGGAAGATACCTCTTTTGGGCCAAGCCACCAGATCTGGCCTCTGGGCAGCATTATTTTGGAGTAACGGCCATTACTTTGAAATAAAAATGTGTGTGTCCACACAGCTATTCCGTTAGTTTGAAATATATTCAAACTAACGGACAGCTTATTACAATTTCCAAAATAAGTGTGCAGTGCAGACGTACCCCCACAGCTGAAAGCCACATGGAGGGAGCAGCTGTAGTTTTGAGTGATGTGGGACTGCAGCGGACAGGTAGTCCAGCCTGCCTAGGGGGTGCTGCAGGGCTGTTGGCCAGGAGACACTTAGGTAATTGCCTCCCAGTCAGAGCCTGCCTCTGGCACCGCTGTCCCTCCTGCACCCCAACTCCCTCCTCTAGGTCACCATCCAAACTCCTTGCAGCAGGTCCAACTCACTCCCAGATCCTGTACCCCCTATTACATCTCTCTCCCGGGCAGAATCCTCTCCTGCATCCATAGCCCCTCCCTGACCCTGTACCCCATTCTTCTGCCCCAGATCATAACCGCATCTTTCACTCAAACTCCCTCTCAGACCCCACACTGTTTCCTGTACCCCAGTCTCTTACCCTGTGAATCCTTCTGCACCAAACCTCCATCCTAGACCCTTCATCTCCCCCACAGTCGAGTGTGGCCCTTGATCACTTTCCAAATTCTTGGAATGGCCCCCCCACCAAAAATTATTGCCCACTCCTAGACTAAATGCAGAACCTTTCATGGTAAAAAGCTGTGTTAATCTGTAGCTGTAAAAACAACAAAGAGTCCTGTGGCACCTTCCTACGCTAACTTTTGAATGTTCCAGAGCAACGGTTTCCAACCTTTTCCAGATGGGGACCCATTTTGACAATTCAGGAAGACTTGGTGACCCAAAGGCAATTCAAAAACGGGGGGAAGAGAGGGGGCAGAGTCACCTGGGGAGACACTTGGCGACCCCTTTGAAATGTAATAGTGACCTATATCTGGGTCCTGACCCATAGGTTGGGAAACCCTGCTCCAGAGTCTGTTTCACGTAAACTTAATATATTTGAAACACCTGAAATTCTATTTTTAAAAAAAAATTCTATTGATTTTTTTTTTTTTTGAGAGAAAAATACTCAAACCACTGAAAGTTTGTTCCTGAAAACTTAATTTCATTTTATTGATTTTTCTGAGCATAGTAATTTATTTACTTTGGTTTGTTTGGTACCTTTTCCATGTGTGAAATATCACTTCATTTGGGATGGTGCTGTGTCTGACGTTCAATGGGGGCTTCTGCTCGTAACTGACTTTGCCTGTGTCTACGCACATAGGTTGCACCTCTTGTCTAGTTCAGAGGTGGCCAACCAGTGGCTCCAGAGCCACATGCGGCTTTTCAGAAGTTACTATGCGGCTCCTTGCATAGGTACCAAATCCAGGGCTGGAGCTACAGGTGCCAACTTTCCACTGGGCCAGAGGGTGTTCACTGTTCAACCCCCAACAGTGCTTTAGGTGCTGTCCACCTCCATTCTTCCCCCCCCAGGATCCTGCCACTTCCTACCCTCTCCATCGAGCCTGGCACATCCATGCTCCTGCCCCTCCAGTGTCTCCTACTGATAGAGAGCTGATCACAGTGGGCAGGAGGAAAAGCAGGAGCGGCACTGACTGGTGGAGCTGTCAGTGGGCGGGATGTGCTGGGAGTGGTGGTGGGGATGATCAGTAGTGGCTGGTGACAGAACTGTTGCTCTTTGGCAAAGTGCATTGGTATCTTCCGGCTCCTGCTCAGGTTTAGGTTGGCCACCCCTGGGCTAGTTAACTAGTGATGAAACCCCCTTGTCCAAACATGCTAATTTCAGTTCCCTCGTGTCTTAAATATTTTGCTTCCATCATTTCTACACTGATTTATGCTAAATGGACATAGATCACTATTAACCTGATGGAAGGTTTTGATAATCAATGTACTTAAAATCATGCAATCTTCTTATAAGGTCAGTTGTGGAACCAGTTTAAGAATGACCATGAGAGTGTTATACTGGTTCCACAACACCAGTTCACAAGTCACGTGTGGAGAAAGCCATAGGCATGTTTAAAATACCCACCCTGCTTAGGTGACTTAAACATCATAAACAAAAGAAAAATAAATAAAGAATGATTAATTTGCTGCACTTAATGTCTCTTCTGATCCTTTGTGCGGAAAAAGTTTTTGCACAATAAAACAGTGTAGACGGGGCTGTTTTGCACACACACAATTTTTGTGCAAGATTCCATATCTAATATATAAAGGAGAATATTTGTAAGTTTGTGCGCTGATAACTTGGACACTATAAGAGCTACCACAACCAAACTGTACATGGGAGAACCTTTCATCCAGGAGAAGGTTTTAAGGTACCTTTGGACCCGATCGGGGCCCAAGCTTAAGCTGTACAAATAAAAAAGCAACTTGCCTCACTGCACTGCAGGGGCTGCCCCAGCTATCCTAGGTCCTGTGCCTGCTGCCCCGCCTACCCTAAATCCTGTGCCCACTGCCTGTGGCCCCAGCGCTGTCTGGGACTCGCCCCCTCCTGCCCACATACATAAGCAACCCTCTTTCCCCACTCCCCATTCCAGCACGCACTGCCCCGATCCCCAAGCATACAACGGCTCGGGCACCTGCCCTGCCCCCTGCGGCACCTGCAGCCCCGGGCGAGAGCTGAGGCTCCTCTCCTGCATGTAAGCTCCCCTCCGCCCGGGGTCGTGCTATGCCCTGCCTCTAAGTCAATGAAGTGGGGATTTAAATAATTCCTGCTTCATTAAAATAAAAAAGGCCGCCACACTGTGCCGACAATCAGCTGATACGGCACAGCACGGCAGTCTAGATGCGGCACGGTTGACAAGGGAAGCCTTTGTCAACTGCTCTGGTAAACCTCGTGAAATGAGGCATGCCGGAGTGGTCAGTCAACGGATCCAGCTGATTGTCGGCACAGCGCGGCGGCCATTTTTATTTTAATCTCTGCTTCATTGACTATGTTGATTAAACTACTTTACATGGCTCTGTTGATGGAGCCATGTAGTCTAGACACACCGTTAGAGTCTATTAGGGCCAGTTTGAACACAACACATTGATGTGCTTTAGAAGTTACACCCGTGTAGTACACATGGCTATGAAAAATAACCCCAACTACAGGTACAGTGGGATGGGGGCTAATTTGGCTACGACAAATCAAGAAAGAGATCTTGGAGTTATCATGGATAGTTCTCTGAAAACTTCTGCACAGTGTGCAGCGGCGGTCAAAAGGCAAATAGAACACTAGGAATTATTAAGAAAGGGATAGTCCACACAGAGTGCAGCGGCGGTCAAAAAGGCAAATAGGTTGCTAGGAATTATTAGGAAAGGGATAGAAAATAAGACCCAGAATATCTTACTGCCCCTGTATAAAACTATGGTACGGCCACATCTTGAATACTGTGTACAGATGTGGTCTCCTCACCTCAAAAAAGATATTTTGGCCTTGGAAAGGGTTCAGAAAAGGGCAACTAAAATGATTAGGGGTTTGGAATGGGTCCCATATGAGGAGAGGTTAAAGCAACTGGGACTTTTCAGTTTAGAAAAGAGGAGACTGAGGGGGGGATATGATAGAGGTCTATAAAATCATGAGGGGCGTGGAGAGGGCCAATAAAGAAAAGTTATTTATTAGTTCCCTAAATAGAAGAACTAGAGGACATCAAATGAAATTAATGGGTAGCAGGTTTAAAACGAATAAAAGAAAGTTCTTCACACAGCGTGTAGTCATCCTGTGGAACTCCTTGCCAGAGGAGGCTGTGAAGGCTAGGACTATAATAGAGTTTAAAGAGAAGCTAGTTAATTTAATGGAGGTTAGGTCCATAAAAGGCGATTAGCCAGGGGATAAAATGGTGTCCTTGGCCTCTGTTTGTCAGAGGCTGGAGAGGGATGGCAGGAGACAAATCGCTTGATCATTGTCTTCGGTCCACCCTCTCTGGAGCACTGGTGCTAGCCACTATCAGCAGACAGGATACTGGGCTAGCTGGACCTTTGGTCTGACCCAGTACGGCCGTTCTAATGTTCATTTTGTTCCTCCGGTTTCCTGAGCAACGCCGGGTAACTCCAGCTAGTAACTCATAAGGGATGTTATGCAAAAGGATTTTTTTTTAACAAAACAACCCCATCTACGCTGCTTTTTTTTTTTTCTTTTTCTGCTCACAAAAACCTTTTCTGCAATAAAGGATCACAAGAGACTTTGCAAATGGCAGCTCAAGAAATGCTAATGAGCACTTCACTTGCATTGCCTCGGCTGACAAAATGATTCTGTCTAGACATAGCTGGAGGGCCAAATTACTTGCTGGGATAATTCTACTGAATGGTCAACGGAGTTTTATGGGCAGAAAATTTGCCTCTGAGTTCTATGAACAATTTAGTGCTGTGGAAAGATCACAAAGTTGTACACTTGAGATTTGCCCTATCTGTTTGAAACAAATACAAAACCTGGCCTTTTCACTCACAGATAAATCAGTGCTTAAGCTCTGTTGTTGGAGTTATTTTTAAATCAGTGTCTGGCTTTTTAAAAAATCTAGTGTAGATGAAATCCTGTTTCACCCTTATCTCACACAACTCCTGCTGTATTTATGTGCATTTAATTTTTTTTGACCCTGGCTTCCAAACTGATGCAAGTCCCGTGTTTTCTGTTTCTCAGATTCCTTTTTCCCGAGGGTGAGTCCCTGGATGGTGGCTCTCATTTTCATCCTGCTGGTTTTGTTTGGTTTCATGGGCCTCACTGTTTATCTGTTTAAAATAAAAGGTAAATCTCATGTGGGAGAATGTATGAAATTAATAAGAGATTGTCCGCTAGCTAGTAAATGAAAAAAGGGAGGACTGACATTTCACACTTGGCCAAGCGGAGGAAGCACAGAGCTGCATCTGCCCTTTGTGACAGGTTCGCTCATAGGGGTCTCCCTGTGGCTATCCCTCAATGCGCCTTGTACAGCCAGATATAATAGTCAGTATGTTCCCAAAGCTCCCAGCAAAGTGAATGGGAACAGGTAACATACAAGGAAGCCGTGTTGGGCGAGCTTTTTACAGGTGCTTGCATATCTAATACCAATAGTAGTAAACCTGATTACTGTGAAAAATCTACCTCTCCTTCCATAGGGAATTGAGAACTTTCCAAGCCATAAGGCCTTGAAAATAATCAGTTACCTTTTGATGCTTCACTCTAGAGTAGACACAACATGAGTAGAATGTGAATGAAATGTTTCATTATTTTCCAGTTTATAGGAATTCACATAGTGAAAACACTCCTTTAAATATACACTCACTGAAAATATTTTAAAACGACCATTTATATTTTTCTGTTTGCTTTATGTAATTATGCTTAGGGAAATGTTTTGACAAATGTTCAGTTCAATTTTTCTCTTAGTTGAGCTTTGTTTATGAAGTAGTGGCTGCTGTTATTAATATTTATAATTAAGAAAACACCATCGAGTTAAGATACATGAAATATCAGAGATTATTAATTGATAATTCAGTATGCAAGTAATGGGAAGCCAGAAAGGAAACATTATTTAAAATGTATCTTCTGTGAGGGTGAAATTCACTAAGTGCTGCAGGCAACATGAACTGGGATGCCAGGAGTTCCCTGTGCCCCAATGTTCTTTCCCCTCCTCTGACAAGTAAATAATTTGGTCAGAAATGCATCATGCTACAGGCCACATGTACTTTTATTTTTGGAGCCATTATTTCATTTTAAAAATAAATCCGTAGGAGACTGAGCGTGGTGAATTTCTACTCACCCACCGCAAGGTTGCTACGTTCCCCTTGGTTCCAGGGGACAATGATCTGCATCAGCCCTTTAATAGGCACCAAGGACTCCCCCCAGAACTGTATTGATTAAACTAACTGGAGCACATGGAGGAGGCAGGAGCAGAGCAGCCAAACCCCTGCTCACTTTCCACCCTTTTCTGGCCCTCTCATCTCCATCCAGTGATCTGGGGAACTAGGAAACGGCCTTTTCCCTCCTCTGGCAGGTGAATGCTGGGTGTGATTTGTGTTAGGGGAGCAGCTTGTGATTCCATTTATTGTTACAAAGAAACTGGGACAAGACCCAGTCTGATAAATGTTCCTTTAGGTGTAATCTGGAAAAGTGGTATGCAGTAGAAAATAGGGGTTTGAACATCAATAAAGCCTCTGCCTAAACTTGAGTATTGACAATAGTGTAAAAGCAGAACGTACAATATGGGGGAAGTAAAAGCCTTCTGTTCTTGGGGTACGTCTAGACTACATGCCTCCGTCGACGGAGGCAGGTAGATTAGACAGATCGGCAGAGGGAAATGAAGCCGCGATTTAAATAATCGCGGCTTCATTTCCCTCTGCCGATCTGTCTAATCTACCTGCCTCCGTCGACGGAGGCAGGTAGATTAGACAGATCGGCAGAGGGAAATGAAGCCGCGATTTAAATAATCGCGGCTTCATTTCCCTCTGCCGATCTGTCTAATCTACCTGCCTCCGTCGACGGAGGCAGGTAGATTAGACAGATCGGCAGAGGGAAATGAAGCCGCGATTTAAATAATCGCGGCTTCATTTCCCTCTGCCGATCTGTCTAATCTACCTGCCTCCGTCGACGGAGGCAGGTAGATTAGACAGATCGGCAGAGGGAAATGAAGCCGCGATTTAAATAATCGCGGCTTCATTTCCCTCTGCCGATCTGTCTAATCTACATGTCTCCGTCGACAGAGGCATGTAGTCTAGACGTACCCTCGGTGTTGACAGCAAGAAACCCATTGAAGACCCATGAATTGTAGAGGCAGTGCTTAACGTTCCCAGAAGTCAGTCAGCCATGTAAAAATGGGAAAATACTCCTAATAACAATTTATATTTATTTCTGTTTATTTTGTGTGTGTGTGTGTGGGGGGGGGAGTCAGAATACAAAAAATGGTAAGTGTTGTGCTCTTTCCTCCAATGAGGAAAACTTTTGTATAAATATGTCCCTTTCTTAAGTGTGTCTATTAAATTATTTTGGGTGGAGTATTTTCACCATAAAAAGATGAAATCTTTGCTGCTGACTTCAATACATGTAGGTTCAATGCACATACCACCAAAAACATAAATGTTGATAATATGAGGGCCAGGAATACCACTCATTGGACTCTTGGATCTTGTGGCAAAGCCAATAGGAATGTATGAGCTATACGGAAGCAGACTCAGCTCTAGTGCCTAGATTTTTTTTTTTTAAGACGGTTGTTCAGCGAACTCTCTCACTAACATCGGTTAGGTTCCTAAATGCATTGAATAATTGGGCCTGAATTCATTAAGGAATTCCAAGCTTTCCAAATTGTAAAAGCTTGAAAACAATCTGTTACTCCTGGATGCTGAACTCTAGCGTAGCCACGTGGTTAGTAAATCATGAATGAAATGTTTGTGATCCAGTTGCTAGGCATTCATATCATGGAAATGCTTCTTTAAATCTACATTAACTGAAATTATTCTTAACCAACTTGTATTTACATCTGTTTGCTTCATTTCATTTCTTCAGGGAAACAGCATCAAGAAATTGGTAAGTTTAATTTTTCTCCACATAGAACCTTTTCTTTTAAGTCGTTTGCTGTTCTGTCATTTATGATGATGATTAAAGTGATATCAACTTGAAAATCACTTGGAATATGAATGATAACATATGGATACTAATTCAGTATGTGGGTAATGGGGACTCATAAAGAAACTGTTATTTGAAATGTGTTTTCTCCAAGGGTGAAATTCACGCAGTGCCAGAGGTTCCATGTAGCGGAGGACTAAAAGGAATCTGTGCCCCCCAAATGAACTTTTGCCTTTTCTGACAAGTAAATAATTTCGGCCAACATGGATCCTCATCTGAGAGAGCAATTAATGTTAAAAGGAAAATGGGGAATATGTGGGGAAACACAATACAGAAATAAGTAAGCTTTGTGGTCTTTCCTTCAACAAAGAAAACTTAATCTAAATTTGTCTTCTCATACTTCAATTTTTTTAACCCAGAAAAAGAGAGGCCAGATGGTGAGCCACTAAGAGTAGTTCAGCCTTGTCTACATTAATGGGAAAAGACAACTTAAGATAAGCAACTCCAGCTATATTAATTACATAGCGGGAGTCAATTGCCATAGCTGGAGTCACAGTATCTTAAATATTTTGTTTTTGTTGGTGCCATCCACATAGCAGGAGGTCTCCTGGCTGCTTTCCTTGCTCCTTATGAGGAGCAGGAGTACTGGCGCCCACAGGGGAGCCCTAAAAGTTCAAATTAGCAAGTCTTCACTAGATACGCTAATTGGAATCCTGAAAGATTGACTGCAGCATCATCGATCTTCTGCATAGCGTAGATGTGACCTTAGAGGCGGGCCTTTTACCAGTGAGTGTCGGCTCCAATACTAAATGCACAAGTTGTCTCACTAACAGAATAGTACAGAAAAAGCTTTAACTGTCTGTCATGAATGGGAGGGGTAATAATCTTTTCTGGATGTTCCAGCCATTCAATTAACAAGTCTTTTCACCGTGGTTAGCTCTTGAAACTTAACCCTAATTGTCTTGCCTCTAAGGGATAAAGCCATAGACAATGGGTCCTAGAAAGTCTTCAGGAATGCTAGGGAAGTAGGAAGTGAGTTTCCAGGAGGCCAGAAGAGCCAATGGAAACAGTGTGTGAGTTTTTGAATTGGAAGCAGTTACCTTCCTGTTCCTGTGTTTGTATGACCAGAGCAGATCTGGTCAAACATAAATTGAGACAGGGAGCAGGGAATGGAGGATTCAGTGACAACCATGTCTGGGGAAGGACTAAATCTTGGAACAGCAGGTATGTGAGTAGAACAGGAAATGTTTAGTCAGACGGAATCAGATTTTCTTTATGTTGGGATTGTTGGACTTCTCTGTGCTCAGCTAATACAACTACCCCCTTACGCTATAGCAGTGTTTCTTAAACTGTGTTCTGTGGCAAACCAGGGTGCCATGGAGAACAAGAGAGTTCAAAATGACCACCCTTAAAAGGACAGGTGACTTTTTTACCTCTCAATAATTTCCCCCCGACCCTATTGTTTTCTTTTTTTTTCCCTGGCCAAGACCCATAAATTGTAACCAGTCAGTGCTTAACGTTCATAGAAGTCAGACAGCCATGTAAAAATGGAAAAATGCTCCTAACAACAATTTCTATTTATTTCTATTTATTTTTTTTGGGGGGGGGGGAATCGGAATACAAAAATTGGTAAGTGTCATGCTCTTTCCGCCAATGAGGAAAACTTTTGTATAAATATGTCCCTTTCTTAAGTGTGTCTATTAATTTATTTTGGGTGGAGTATTTTAACCATAAAAAGATGAAATCTTTGCCATTGACTTCAGTACATCTAGGTTCAAGAACTAAGTTCATATTCCACCAAAACAATAATGTTGATAATCTGGAGGCCAAGAATACCACTCTTTGGACTCTTGGAGCTTCCAGCAAAGCCAGTGTGTGAGATGTATGGAAGCAGGACTGGGGTCTAGTGGCTAGATATTTAAAGATGGTTGGTCAGTGAACTCTCACTAAAATCAGTTAGGTTCCCAGATGTATTGAATAATTGGCCTCGAATTACATAAGGAATTAAAAACTTTTGGAATTGTAAATGCTTGAAAATAATCAGTTATTGTTGGACGCTACACTCTAGTGTAACCACATGGTTAGTTACACATGAATGAAATGTTTGTGATCCAGTTGCTAGGCATTCATATCATGGAAACACTTCTATAAATCTAGATTCACTGAAATTATCCTTAACCAACTTGTATTTACATCTGTTTGCTTCATTTCATTTCTTCAGGGAAACAGCGTCAAGAAATCAGTAAGTTTAATTTTTCTTCACATAGAACCTTTTCTATTGAGTTGTTTGCTGTTCTGTTATTTATGATGATGATGATAAAATCAACGTGAAAGTCACTTGGAATATGAATGATGACATATGGATACTAATTCAGTATGTGGGTAATGGGGAATCCTAAAGAAACTGTTATCTGAAATGTGTCTTCTCTGAGGGTGAAATTCTCAGTGCCAGAGGCACCATGAAGTGAAGGGCTAGAAGGACTCTGTGCCCTCAGTTGAACTTCGATCCTCATCTGAGAGAGGGGTTGATGTTAAAAAGAAAATGGGGAGTGGACAGGGAAACACAATACAGAATGTGCAGGCTTCATGATCTCCCCTTCAACAAAGAAAACTTAATCTGAATTTGTCTGCTCATGTTTTATTTTTTTATCCCCAAAAAAGAGAGTCCAGATGGTGCGGCACTAACAACAAGAGTTAGGTCTTGACTACACTGACAGGGAAAGCCAACTTAAGATAAGCAACCCCAGCTATATTTATTGCATAGAGGGAGTCAATGTATTTTAAAAAGTTTTTGGGTTTGGTTTGGTTTTTGTTGGTGCCATCCACATAGTAGGAGGTCTTCTGGCTTCTTTCCTTACTCCTTATGAGGAGCAGGAGTACTGGCACGTACAGGGGAGCCCCCTTAGTTCGAATTAGCAAGTCTTCACTAGACCCGCTAATTGGAATCCTGAAAGATCAACTGCAGCATCATTGATCTTCTGCACAATCTTCTGGCAGGTGATCTTAGAGCCAGGCCTTTTACCACGGAGTGTCAGATCAAACACTAAATGCATATGATGTCTCACTAACAGAATAGTACAGCAAAAGCTTTAACTCTTAGCAACCAAGTAGTGTTTCAGCAAGGTTTTTTTTCTGTCTGCTGTTGTTAATAGAAATAACTTTAAGACCATGATTTATTCCTGTGTCCTAGAAGGCAGGAGATTGTGTGCACATACCTAAGACTGCAAAGCCAAAATACTAGGAGAGATGAGTTTTCCAAGCTCTCTCCAGTGGAAGGGTTAAAGAGCTTGATGGTAGCCTACAGGAAGAATTTCCAAATGTGTCTTCCTGGGTTTTCAAAGGGTTTTTGCATTTGTTGCTGGCAGCAATACCACTCCAGGACCAAAGAATCCTTGATCTTGCAGCGTTTTCAAACAGAAGCCCTTAATGGCGGGTATTTCAAAGTCTCTTGCGAGCCCCCAGCTTCTGCACCCAGAGTACCAGAGTGGGGAACAGACTTCAAACCCGCATGTTGGCAGAAACGGAGTGCTGGTAGTTTAAACGCGCTGGTTAAAATGGTGGGAGTGGTTCCGTATGCAGGAGGGAGTGTGGGGCTGAGGGTTGGAGTCCGGGAAAGGACATGGCTGTGGGAGGGAGTTTGGGTGCATGAGGAGGATTGAGATGTGGGAGAGATTGGGGTGCTAGATCTGGGGGAGGGGTGCTCACTTTGGACAATTTCCTCTAAGCCACAGTTATCTCTGGGACTCCTAGGTGAGGACACATTATGGTCACATGGCTCTGCCTACTGTCTCTGCCCCTGCAGCTCCCATTGGCTGTGGTTCCCAGGGGGCAAGATGGAGGCAGCATGCAGAGCTATGCAGCCATGCCGTGTCTCCACCTGAGGATCACGGAAACTTTCCTGACTTGGGGGAGTCACTCGACAGGGGCACCCTCCTCATTCAGCACCCTGAAATCCCTCGTGTATCCTGACTCTCTGCTCCAAGTCCCGACATGGACTCTGTCTCCTAGAGCCCACAATCTCTCCCATGTTCCCATCCCCTGCTAGCAGCTCAACAGCCTCATTATAACCAGCATTTCAAAGCAGATCAGAAGTGCCAGTTTATAGAGCGTGCTGGTTGGGGGCGGTGGGTGGAGCGGGTATGGGTGCAGGATAAGAGCTTTTATTTTATGGATAATTTTAAGGCTTGATATTACATTCTATTCATACCTAAAGCTCCCAGCAGAGTGAGTGAGAACACGTAATGAGCAAGGAAGCAGTTTTGGGGTCTAAGGGCTAGTTTATTAAAGGTATTTGAACACCTAATGCCAATTGAAATTAGTGGGAGTAAGGACCTTAAATATCTTGAAATTCTGGCTGTAATTCCACAGGGAACTCAACATTTTTAGAATGCTAAGCCCTTGAAAATAATCTATTCTATTTTGATACTTCAGCTTAGAGTAGACACAAAATGAATAAAATGTGACTAAAATGTTTAATCATTTTCAAAGTTCTAGAATTTCTGAAATTTGTGAAATCTGAAATTCTGAAATCTCCATTCACTGAAAATATTCAAAATCTTTGAATATTCAAAACCGTTTAATAGTCACTGAAAATATTCAAAATATTCAAGTCAACCTTTTGTTTATCTCTATTTGCTTTATTTACTGTCATTGGGAAATATCTCGAAAATATTTAGTTCATCGCTTCTCTTAATTGAGCTTTGCCTTTGAAGTAGTTTGCTGCTCTTATTAATGTTTAATATTAACAATAATTTAGAAGGCAGCAATAAGTTTAAAATCACAAGACATGCCAGACATAATGAACTGACAACAATTCAGTATGGAGGTAATGGGAAGCCACAAAACTTTAAAATGTATCTTCTGTGAGGGCGAAATTCACTGAGTGCTGGAGGGAACGTGAAGTGGGAAGCCCCAGTGTCCTTCCACTTTTCTGGCAAGTAAATAGTTTGGTCAGAATTGCATCGTGCTACAGACCACGTGTACCTTTATTTCAGGAGCCGTTATTTCATTTCATTTTTAAAATAAATCCGGAGGAGACTTAACCTGGTGAATTATACTCGCCCGCTGCAAGATTGCAAAGATTCCCCCGTTGTTCCAGGAGACAGTGATCTGCATCAGCCCGTTAATGGGCTTCTTACCTCTGGAACTTCTTACCTCTGGAACTAGATTGAATAAATAGACTGGAGCATGTGGAGGAGGCAGAAGCCAACCAGCCAAACTCCTGTCCGCTCCCCATCCTCTTCTGCTTCCTCCTGGCCCACTTATTCATTCATTCTCCGCTCCATGCCAGTAGGCTTAGGGAACGTGGAAAGGCCCTTTCGCTCCTCTGGAAGGTGAATGTTGAGTGTGATTTGTATTAGGGGAGCAGTCTGTGATTCCATTTATTGTTACAAAAAACTGGGATGAAACTCGGTCTCATAAATGCTGTCCCCGTAAGTGTAATCTGGAAAAGTGGTATGCAGTAGAAAATTTGTCTTTGAATAGCAATGAAGCCTCTGCCTAACTTCAATATTGACAATAGTGTAGAAAGTAAAAACCATTTTACTGCAAGAAACCCGTCGAAGACCCATGAATTGTAGACCGTCAGTGCTTAATGTTCCCTGAAGTCAGACAGCCGTGTAAAAATGGGAAAATGCTCCTAATAACAACATATATTTATTTCCGTTTATTTTTTTAGTTGATCGGGATACAGAAATTGGTAAGTGTCGTGTTCTTTCCTCCAATGAGGAATATTTTTGTATAATTATGTCCCCTCATAAGGGTGTCTATTAATTTGTGCATTATTTTGTGGAAAGTATTTTAACCATAAAAAGTTTAAATATTTTCCATTGATTTCAATGCATGTAGGTCAATTAATGCTGATAATTGAATGTCCAGGAATACCACTCTTTGGACCCTCTGTGCTCTTGGCAAAGCCGACATGAATACGTGAGAGATAAGGAAGCAGGACTAAGCTCTCTTGGCTAGATTGTTCTAGATGGTTGTTCAGTGAACTCTCTTATTAAAATCAGTTAGGTTCCTAAATGCGTTGAATAACTAGGCCCGAATTCCATAAGGAACTCCAAGCTTTCCAAATTGTAAATGCCTGAAAACAATCCGTTACTCCTGGACTCTGAACTCTAGTGTAGCCACATGGTTAGTTAAACATAAATGAAATGTTTATTAATTCTAGACATTCATATTATGGAAACACTTCTTTAAATCTACATTAACTGAAATTATTCTTAACCAACTTGTATTTACATCTGTTTCATTTCTTCAGGGAAACAGCGTCAAGAAATCAGTAAGTTTAATTTTTCTCCACATAGAACCTTTTCTATTAAGTTGTTTGCTGTTCTTTTACTTATGATGATGATAAAAGTGATATCAACGTGAAAGTCACATGGAATATGAATGATGGCATATGGATACTAATTCAGTATGTGGGTATTGGAGAATCCTAAAGAAACTGTTATCGGAAATGTGTCTTCTCTGAAGGTGAAATTCACACAGTGCCGGAGGCACCATGAAGTGAAGGGCTAGAAGGACTCTGTGCCCACAATTGAACTTGGATCCTCATCTAAGAGAGGGGTTGATGTTAAAAAGAAAATGGAGAGTGGACAGGGAAACACAATACAGAATGAGCAGGCTTCATGGTCTCTCCTTCAATGAAGAAAACTTAATTTAAATATGTCTCCTCGTGTTTTATCTTTTTATCCCAAAAAAAGGGAGTCCAAATAGTGCGGCACTAACAACAAGGGTTAGCCTTGTCTACACTAATGGGGAAAGTCAACTTAAGATAAGCAACCCCAGGTATATTAATTGCATAGCGGGCGTCAATGTATTTTAAATAGTTTTTTGGCTTTGGTTTGGTTTTTGTTGGTGCCATCCACATAGCAGGAGGTCTTTTGGCTGCTTTCCTTGCTTCTTATGAGGGACAGGAGTATTGGCACCTAAAGGGGAGCCCCCTTAGTTCAAAATAGCACGTCTTCATTAGACCCGCTAATTGGAATTCTGAAAGATCAACTACAGCATCTTCGATCTTCTGCATAGTGTATACGTGACCTTAGAGGTGGGCCTTTTACCAGTGAGTGTCGACTCAATTACTAAATGCATAAGATGCATCATTAACAGAATAGTTCAGCAAAAGCTTTAACTGTCTGTCATGAATGGGAAGGGTAATAATCTTTTCTGGATGTTCCAGTCATTCAATTAAAGTCTTTTCACGGTGGCTAACGCTTGAAACTTAACCCTAATTGTCTTGCTAGTAAGGGTTAAAGCCCTAGACAGTGGGTCCTAGAAAGTCTCCAGGAACGCTAGTGAAGGAGGAAGTGAGTTAGCATCAGGTCAAAAGAAAGAACGGAAATATAGTATGGTGCTTTTGGTTTGGAAGGAGTGGCCTTCCTTTTCCTGTCTTTGTGGGGCCAGAGCAGAATTGGTCAAACATGAATTGAGCCAGGCAGCAGGGAATGGAGGATTCAGTGACATCCATGCCTAGGGAAGGACTAAAACTTGGAACAGCAGGTATGTGAGTAGAACAGGAAGTCTGTGTCTACACTGGCACCCTTTTCCGGAAAAGGGATGCTAAAGAGACACTTGGGAAATGCAAATTCCGCGGGGATTTAAATTTTCCCTGTGGCATTTGCATGAACGTGGCTGCCGCTTTTTTCCGGCTCTGGGCTTTGCCGGAGAAAAGCGCCAGTCTAGACGGGATCTTGAGGAAAATAAAGCGTTTTTTGGAAGATCCCTTATTCCTGATTTTAAGTAGGAATAAGGGATCTTCTGGAAAAGGGTTTATTTTCCGCAAGATCCCGTCTAGACTGGCGCTTTTCTCCGGCAAAGCCCAGAGCCGGAAAAAAGCGGCAGCCACGTTCATGCAAATGCCACAGGGAAAATTTAAATCCCCGCGGAATTTGCATTTCCCAAGTGTCTCTTTAGCATCCCTTTTCCGGAAAAGGGTGCCAATGTAGACACAGCTGAAAGGTTTAGTCAGACAGAACCAGACACTCTAACTTTCCTAAATATTTCCTCTCCGCCCCCCCCCCACCTTTTTTTCCCCTGTTGCTCTGTAACACTTAGTAACCAAGTAGTGTTTCAGCAAGTATGTTTTCTCTCTGTTGTTGTTAATAGAAATAACTTTAAGACCATGATTTTATTCCTGTGTCCTAGAAGGCAGGAGATTCTGTGTGCACATACTTCAGACTGCAAAGCCAAAATACTAGGAGAGATGAGTTTTCCAAGCTCTCTCCAGTGGGAGGGTTAAAGAACTTGAGGGTAGCCCACAGGAAGAATTTCCAAATGTGTCTTCCTGAGTTTTCAAAGGGTTTTTGCATTTGTTGCTGGCAGCAATACCAATCTGGGGCTGTAGGGAATAATTTCCGGACACAGTGGGTGCAGGTGAAAACAAGCTGAGGATTTATTATACACCAATGCTGGTGAAGGACACACCAGGGATTAACCTGGAGGGGCACTGGTGAAATCAAAACGTACATGAGATTATATAGGTACGGAGGGAAGTGATTTGATAGTCTAGCAGCGGAAATGAGATGAGCACATAAACCAATGATCTATGAAGGTTACGCAGTATCTCTGCCCATTGCCAATTAAACATCTTTCTCAGTAATACAGATAGTAGCCCTAACAAGCTATATGAGCCAACGTAAACCTAACATAACATAACATAAACAAAAGGCATGGGAGCTGGTGGTCAGATAGAAGACCGTTGCCTTTCTTAATTGACACAGTCCTTGGGATCTAGGCTTATCTAGTATCACAGGAGACAGTAAGAAAACCCTCACAGCCTCTTATCAGAAAGTGAAGTCTTCTTGGAATGTGATTGCCAGAGGAGCCACAGTCATGGAGCCATGTCTGTCTGTGTGTTTTCCAGACCTGGCCTACTAATTTAAGATTTGAGTTCTCCAGTTCTCAGCAAGATACCATGGACTGCCTCAATTTACCCTACAAAGGCAAAGGAATCTTTGATCTTGCAGTGTTTTCAAACAGAAGCCCTTAATGGCGGGGTATTTCAAAGTCTCTTGTGAGCCCCCAGTTCTGCACCCAGGGTGCCAGAGTGGGGAACGGCCTTGAAACCAGCATGTTGGCAGACAGGGAGTACTGGTAGTTTAAACACGCTGGTTAAAATGGTAGGAGTGGTTCTGTATGCAGGGGGGAGCGCGTGGGGCTGAGCGTTGGAGTCCGGGAAAGGACATGGGCTGTGGGAAGGAGTTTGGGTGCATGAGGAGGATTGAGATGTGGGAGAGATTGGGGTGCTAGATCTGGGGGAAGGGTGCTCACTTTGGACAATTTCCTCTAAGCCACAGTTATCTCTGGGGCTCCTAGGTGAGGACACATCAGGGTCACATGGCTCTGCCTGCTGTCTCTGCCCCTGCAGCTCCCAATAGCCGTGGTTCTCAGGGGGCAAGGTGGAGGCAGCATGCAGAACCATATAGCCATACTGTGTCTCCACCTGAGGATCACTGAGACTTTCCTGACTTGGGGGGAGCCACCCGACAGGAGCACCCTCATCCAGCACCCTGAAATCCCTTGTGAAATCTCTGCTTCAAACCCCCTCCTGGATCCACACTCTCTCCTAAAGCCTGCATCCCGCATCCTCTCCCATGTCCCAGTTCCCTGCTGGCTGCACAACCATCTCATTATAACCAGCATTTCAAAGCAGATCAGAAATGCCGGTTTATAGAGCGTGCTGGTTGGGGGCGGTGGGTGGAGCGGGTATGGGTGCAGGATAAGAGCTTTTATTTTATGGATAATTTTAAGGCTTGATATTACATTCTATTCATACCTAAAGCTCCCAGCAGAGTGAGTGAGAACACGTAATGAGCAAGGAAGCAGTTTTGGGGTCTAAGGGCTAGTTTACTAAAGGTATTTGAACACCTAATGCCAATTGAAATTAGTGGGAGTAAGGACCTTAAATATCTTGAAATTCTGGCTGTAATTCCACAGGGAACTCAACATTTTTAGAATGCTAAGCCCTTGAAAATAATCTATTCTATTTTGATACTTCAGCTTAGAGTAGACACAAAATGAATAAAATGTGACTAAAATGTTTAATCATTTTCAAAGTTCTAGAATTTCTGAAATTTTTAAAATCTGAAATTCTGAAATCACCATTCACTGAAAATATTCAAAATCTTTGAATATTCATAACCTTTGAATAGTCACTGAAAATATTCAAAATATTCAAGTCAACCTTTTGTGTATCTCTATTTCTTTTATTTACTGTGATTAGGGAAATATCTTGAAAATATTTAGTTCAAATATTCTCTTAATTGAGCTTTGCCTTTGCAGTAGTTTGCTGCTCTTATTAATGTTTATAATTAACAATAACTTAGAAGGCAACAATAAGTTTAAAATCACAAGACATGCCAGACATAATGAACTGACAACAATTCAGTATGGAGGTAATGGGAAGCCACAAAACTTTAAAATGTATCTGCATCAGCCCGTTAATAGGCACCGAGAACTTCTTCCCTCTGGAACTAAATTGAATAAATAGACTGGAGCATCTGGAGGAGGCAGAAGCCAACCAGCCAAACTCCTGTCCGCTCCCCATCCTCTTCTGCTTCCTCCTGGCCCACTTATTCATTCATTCTCCGCTCCATGCCAGTAGGCTTAGGGAACGTGGAAAGGCCCTTTCGCTCCTCTGGAAGGTGAATGTTGAGTGTGATTTGTATTAGGGGAGCAGTCTGTGATTCCATTTATTGTTACAAAAAACTGGGATGCGACTCGGTCTCATAAATGTTGTCCCCGTAAGTGTAATCTGGAAAAGTGGTATGCAGTAGAAAATTTGGGTTTGAATAGCAATGAAGCCTCTGCCTAACTTCAGTATTGACAATAGTGTAGAAAGTAAAAACCATTTTACTGCAAGAAACCCGTCGAAGACCCATGAATTGTAGACCGTCAGTGCTTAATGTTCCCTGAAGTCAGACAGCCGTGTAAAAATGGGAAAATGCTCCTAATGACAACTTATATTTATTTCCGTTTATTTTTTTAGTTGATCGGGATACAGAAATTGGTAAGTGTCGTGTTCTTTCCTCCAATGAGGAATATTTTTGTATAATTATGTCCCCTCATAAGGGTGTCTATTAATTTGTGCATTATTTTGTGGAAAGTATTTTAACCATAAAAAGTTTAAATATTTTCCATTGATTTCAATGCATGTAGGTCAAGCACTAAATGCACATTCCATCAAAACAATAATGCTGATAATTGAATGTCCAGGAATACCGCTCTTTGGACCCTCTGTGCTCTTGGCAAAGCCACCATGAATACGTGAGAGATAAGGACTAAGCTCTAGTGGCTAGATTGTTCTAGATGGTTGTTCAGTGAACTCTCTCATTAAAATCAGTTAGGTTTCTAAATGCAGTGTAGAACAGGACCCGAATTCCATAAGGAATTCCATGCTTTCCAGATTATAAATGCTTGAAAATAATCAGTTATTGTTGGACACTGAACTCTAGTGTAGCCACATGGTCAGTTAAACATAAATGAAATGATTATTTAGTTGCTAGACATTCATATCACGGCATTCATATCATGGAAACACTTCTATAAATCTAGATTCACTGAAATTATCCTTAACCAACTTGTATTTACATCTGTTTGCTTCATTTCATTTCTTCAGGGAAACAGCGTCAAGAAATCAGTAAGTCTAATTTTTCTCCACATAGAACCTTTTCTATTAAGCTGTTTGCTGTTCTTTTACTTATGATGATGATAAAAGTGATATCAACATGAAGATCACTTGGAATATGAATGATGACTTATGGATACTAATTCAGTATGGGGAATCCTAAAGAAACTGTTATCTGAAATGTGTTTTCTCTTAGGGTAAAATTCACACAGTGCCTGAGGCACCATGAAGTGAAGGGCTAGAAGGACTCTGTGCCCTCAAATGAACTTGGATCCTCATTTCAGAGAGGGGTTTATGTTAAAAAGAAAATGGGGAGTGGACAGGGAAATACAATACAGAATGAGCAGGCTTCATGGTCTCTCCTTCAAAAAAGAAAATGTAATCTAATTTGTCTTCATGTGTTTTATCGTTTAATCCCAAAAAAAGAGAGTACGGATGGTGCGGCACTAACGACAAGAGTTAGCCTTTTCTACGCTAATGGGGAAAGTCAACTTAAGATAAGCAACTCCAGTTATATTAATTGCATAGTGGTCGTCAATGTATTTTAAATAGTTTTTTGGTTTTGGTTTGGTTTTTGTTGATGCCATCCACATAGCAGGGAAGTCTTCTGGCTGCTTTCTTTGCTCCTTACGAGGAGTAGGAGTACTGGCACCTACACGGGAGCCCCCTTAGTTCAAATTAGCATGTCTTCATTAGACCCGCTAATTGGAATTCTGAAAGATCAACTGCAGCATCATCGATCTTCTGCATAGTGTAGACGTGGCCTTAGAGCCGGGCCTTTTACCAGTGAGTGTCGGATCAAACACGAAATGCATAAAATGTCTCACTAACAGAATAGTTCAGCAAAAGCTTTAACTGTCTGTCATGAATGGGAGGCGTAATAATCTTTTCTGGATGTTCCAGCCATTCAATTAACTAAAGTCTTTTCACGGTGGTTAACTCTTGAAACTTAACCCTAATTGTCTTGCCAATAAGGGTTAAAGCCCTACACAGTGGGTCCTAGAAAGTCTCCACGAATGCTAGGGAGGCAGGAAATGAGTTGGCAGCAGGTCAAAAGAGAGAATGGAAATAGAGTATGGGGTTTTTGATTTGGAAGGAGTGACCTTCTTTTTCCTGTCTTTGTGGGACCAGAGCAGAACTGGTCAAACATGAATTGAGCCAGGCAGCAGGGAATGGAGGATTCAGTGACATCCATGCCTAGGGAAGGACTAAATCTTGGAACAGCAGGTATGTGAGTAGAACAGGAAAGGCTTAGTCAGACAGAATTAGACACTATAAGTTTCCTAAATGAATCTAAAGGAAACAATTCTCTGTGATTTCCTCTCCGCCCCCCCCCCACCTTTTTTTCCCCTGTTGCTCTGTAACACTTAGCAACCAAGTAGTGTTTCAGCAAGTATGTTTTCTCTCTGTTGTTGTTAAGACCATGATTTTATTCCTGTGTCCAAAAGGCAGGAGATTGTGTACACATACCTAAGACTGCAAAGCCAAAATACTAGGAGAGATGAGTTTTCCAAGCTCTTTCCAATGGGAGGGTTAAAGAACTTGAGGGTAGCCCACAGGAAGAATTTCCAAATGTGTCTTCCTGGGTTTTCAAAGGATTTTTACATTTATTGCTGGCAGCAATACCAATCCAGGGCCAAAGAATCTTTGATCTTGCAGTGTATTCAAACAGAAGCCCTTAATGGTGGAATATTTCTAAGTCACTTGTGGGCCCCCAGTTCTGCACCAGAGTGCCAGAGTGGGGAATGGCCTTGAAAACAGCATGTTGGCAGACAGAGAGTGCTGGTAGTTTAAACACACTGATTAAAATGGTAGGAGTGGTTCTGTATGCAGGAGGGAGCGTGGGGCTGAGCGTTGGAGTCCGGGAAAGGACATGGGCTGTGGGAAGGAGTTTGGGTGCATGAGGAGGATTGAGATGTGGGAGAGGTTGGGGTGCTAGATCTGGGGGAGGGGTGCTCACTTTGGACAATTTCCTCTAAGCCACAGTTATCTCTGGGGCTCCTAGGTGAGGACACATTATGGTCACATGGCTCTGCCTGCTGTCTCCGCCACTGCAGCTCCCATTGGCCGTGGTTCTTGGGGGGCAAGGTGGAGGCACTATGCAGAACCATGCAGCCATGTCGTGTCTCCGCCTGAGGATCACTGAGACTTTCCTGACTTGGGGGGAGCCACCCGACAGGAGCACCCTCATTCAGCACCCTGAAATCCTTTGTGTACCCCGACTCTCTGCTCCAAGTCCCAACCTGGATCCACACTCTCTCCTAAAGCCTGCATCCCGCAGCCTCTCCCATGTCACAGTCCCCAGCTGGCTGCACAAAAACCTCATCATAACCAGCATTTCAAAGCAGATCATTAATGCCGGTTTATAGAGCGTGCTGGTGGGGGGTGGAGTGGGTACAGGTACAGGATAAGAGCTTTTATTTTGTGGATATTACATTGTGTTCACACCTAAAGCTCCCAGCAAAGTGAGTGAGAATATGTAATGAGCAAGGAAGCAGTTTTAGGGTCTAAGGGCTAGTTTATTAAAGGTATTTGAACACCTAATGCCAATTGAAATTAGTGGGAGTAAGGACCTTAAATATCTAGAAATTCTGGCCGTAATTCCACAGGGAACTCAACATTTTTAGAACGCTAAGCCCTTGAAAATAATCTATTCTATTTTGATTCTTTGGCTTAGAGTAGACACAAAGGCTACGTCTACACTGGCCCCTTCTCCGGAAGAGGCATGCTAATTTCGAACTTTGGAATAGGGAAATCCGTGGGGGATTTAAATATCCCCCGCGGGATTTAAATAAACATGGCTGCTGCTTTTTTCCGGCTTGGGGAAAAGCCGGAAAAGAGCGTCTAGACTGGCGCGATACTCCGGAATAAAGCCCTTTTCCGGAGGATCTCTTATTCCTACTTGCAAGTAGGATCTTATTGATAAGATCCTACTTGCAAGTAGGAATAAGAGATCCTCCGGAAAAGGGCTTTATTCCGGAGTATCGCGCCAGTCTAGACGCTCTTTTCCGGCTTTTCCCCAAGCCGGAAAAAATAAGGACCTTAAATATCTTGAAATTCTGGCTGTAATTCCACAGGGAACTCAACATTTTTAGAATGCTAAGCCCTTGAAAATAATCTATTCTATTTTGATACTTCAGCTTAGAGTAGACACAAAATGAATAAAATGTGACTAAAATGTTTAATCATTTTCAAAGTTCTAGAATTTCTGAAATTTTTAAAATCTGAAATTCTGAAATCACCATTCACTGAAAATATTCAAAATCTTTGAATATTCATAACCTTTGAATAGTCACTGAAAATATTCAAAATATTCAAGTCAACCTTTTGTGTATCTCTATTTCTTTTATTTACTGTGATTAGGGAAATATCTTGAAAATATTTAGTTCAAATATTCTCTTAATTGAGCTTTGCCTTTGAAGTAGTTTGCTGCTCTTATTAATGTTTATAATTAACAATAACTTAGAAGGCAACAATAAGTTTAAAATCACAAGACATGCCAGACATAATGAACTGACAACAATTCAGTATGGAGGTAATGGGAAGCCACAAAACTTTAAAATGTATCTGCATCAGCCCGTTAATAGGCACCGAGAACTTCTTCCCTCTGGAACTAAATTGAATAAATAGACTGGAGCATCTGGAGGAGGCAGAAGCCAACCAGCCAAACTCCTGTCCGCTCCCCATCCTCTTCTGCTTCCTCCTGGCCCACTTATTCATTCATTCTCTGCTCCATGCCAGTGGATTAGGGAACGAGGAAAGGCCCTTTCCCTCCTCTGGCAGGTGAACGTTGAGTGTGATTTGTATTAGGGGAGCAGTCTGTGATTCCATTTATTGTTACAAAAAACTGGGATGAAACTCGGTCTCATAAATGCTGTCCCCGTAAGTGTAATCTGGAAAAGTGGTATGCAGTAGAAAATTTGTCTTTGAATAGCAATGAAGCCTCTGCCTAACTTCAATATTGACAATAGTGTAGAAAGTAAAAACCATTTTACTGCAAGAAACCCGTCGAAGACCCATGAATTGTAGACCGTCAGTGCTTAATGTTCCCTGAAGTCAGACAGCCGTGTAAAAATGGGAAAATGCTCCTAATGACAACTTATATTTATTTCCGTTTATTTTTTTAGTTGATCGGGATACAGAAATTGGTAAGTGTTGTGTTCTTTCCTCCAATGAGGAAAACTTTTGTATAATTATGTCCCCTCATAAGGGTGTCTATTAATTTGCGTATTATTTTGTGCAGAGTATTTTTACCATAAAAATATTAAATATGTTCCATTAATTTCAATGCATGTAGGTCAAGCAGTAAGTGCACCAAAACAATAATGCTAGTAATTGAAGATCCAGGAATACCACTATTTGGACCCTCTGTGCTCTTGGCAAAG